GATGGATCCTCCTCCGTGGTGTGATGGCACAGTGATGGATCCTCCTCCATGGTGTGATGGCACAGTGATGGATCCCCCTCCATGGTGTGATGGCGCAGTGATGGATCCCCCTCCATGGTGTGATGGCACAGTGATGGATCCCCCTCCATGGTGTGATGGCGCAGTGATGGATCCCCCTCCATGGTGTGATGGCGCAGTGATGGATCCCCTCCGTGGTGTGATGGCACAGTGATGGATCCCCCCTCCATGGTATGATGGCGCAGTGATGGATCCCCCTCCATGGTGTGATGGCGCAGTGATGGATCCCCCCTCCATGGTGTGATGGCACAGTGATGGATCCCCCTCCATGGTGTGATGGCGCAGTGATGGGTGTGATCCCCCTCCGTGTGTGATGGCACAGTGATGGATCCTCCTCCATGGTATGATGGCGCAGTGATGGATCCCCCTCCTGGTGTGATGGCGCAGTGATGGATCCCCTCCTCCGTGGTGTGATGGCGCAGTGATGGATCCTCCTCCATGTGTGGTGTGATGGCACAGTGATGGATCCCCCCATGGTGTGATGGCGCAGTGATGGATCCCCCTCCAGTGATGGATCCCCCATGGTCGTGGTGTGATGGCACAGTGATGGATCCCCCCCCCTCCATGGTATGATGGCAGTGATGGATCCTCCTCCTCCGTGGTGTGATGGCACAGTGATGGATCTGAACTCAGGTGCTAATGCTTAATTGAAGAATCTGAGGTTAGAAGCTGATTGGCTGCCATGCACAGGCTGAACATTGTGCAGACCCGGAATGTTCTGTGACATCTGCTGGGTGGTCTCGCCTTGTATACTCCTATATCTTACAAATCCTTTTTGCATCTCTTTAGCTCTTGTGTGACTTCAGCAATCTTCTACATCCCTGGGCTCAAACTGCAGCCTAGGGGCCCATGCTGCTCTATGGTGGTGGCCCCGTGGCCCCATGGCCCTTAGACCCCGCAGTTAGTAGTGGGAGCATTGAGTTGTGAAGGGGCTGTAATAGCAATGATCTCTAGCAGTCTTATGTTTCACATCCCCAGTCTCTGCCTGCTGCATGACTCTCATCCCCAACCAACCCTATAACACTCTCTGACCATTTCCTCTAGTAGTTCCTCAGCCTATTTCCTCTGCATGTAGCCCTTTAGTGACATCAGGGGCCACATTTGAGGTGAGCCTATACTTCTGTAGGAGCATATATCATAAGAATGGGAAATGAACATGAATACATGTGGCCCTTTGTTGGCACCCTTGATATTTTTCCTGAAAATCATCACAAAAAAGGGCCATTAACACATGTGAGCTATACACATGTTTCCTATGTATTGGACCTTACTGTTGAGGAGCAAATATGACATGATGTCACACATAACCCCAAAAATCTGGACAAAAGTATTGGCACCCTTAAAATATTTGGTTGCACATTTGGAAAACATGAAATAGTTTCATTAAATACATTCTATATTCTGTATAGTCTGCCAGTTCTTCTATAACAACATAAAGATCTCTATAAAATAACGTCCCTTTTATTATATTTCTTGTTACATTCAAAGGGCCATTCCCTGGAAAATGTCTGACTCTCTTGCCGCCATGGCGCAGTTTTGGTATTTTCCACTGCTGATTACTCGGTAGTATAATACATGGAGGGGACCCGCATTTCACAGTGTAGACCTGCTGGCTGTACAATGCAGACTACGAGCCATTCCTGGATTTATATTCTTCTATTACCATCACACAGAAGTCAGCGCCTGCACTGGCCTCACAGTGACACAGCACAAGTGGACGCACATACCCAGATACAGACATGCCATCCAGAAACAGCTCCCCCCTCATATCTCTTAGTCATCCCTACTAATCCCCCATGGCCCGGCTCATCTCATACTGATGTGTAATAATATACACCTCAGGTCGGTACGGAGTCCAGCTAGTCACATGCTTCTAGCCCCAAAGAATGGCGCCCTTGGTTACAGCTGGGACAGAATTTGCTTTCTTTCCTCCCTTTTTTTGTTTTGTCCCAAAGCCAAAGATTAACCTGATTATATTTTGCCTCCCTGGTTCTTCCTTTCATTCCCATCAATACTCTAATGGAATTATTAAATTAAAATGTCTGACCTTTTGTTTTGTTTTTACATATCTTACATGACATAATCACTGGGTCTCTGTGCATCTCTATGCATTGGAGTGATGTCATCATTGGGTCTCTGTGCATCTCTATGCATTGGAGTGATGTCATCACTGAGTCTGTGCATTTCTTTGCATTGCAGTGATGTCATCATTAGGTCTCTGTGCATCTCTATGCATTGGAGTGATGTCATCACTGGGTCTCTGTGCATCTCTATGCATTGGAGTGATGTCATCACTGGGTCTCTGTGCATTTCTTTGCATTACAGTAATGTCATCATTGGGTCTCTGTGCATCTCTATGCATTGGAGTGGTGTCATAACTGGGTCTCTGTGCATCTCTATGCATTGGAGTGATGTCATCACTGGGCCTCTGTGCATTTCTTTGCATTACATTGCATAATGGGTCATCTCTTGCATTGGGTGGTCTCTGTGCATCTCTATGCATTGGAGTGATGTCATCACTGGGCTCTGTGCATTTCTTTGCATTGCAGTGATGTCATCATTGGTCTCTGTGCATTTCTTGCATTGCAGTGATGTCATCATTAGTTCTCTGTGCATCTCTATGCATTGGAGTGATGTCATCCCTGAGTCTGTGCATTTCTTTGCATTGCAGTGATGTCATCATCATTGGGTCTCTGTGCATCTCTATGCATTGCAGTGATGTCATCATTGGGTCTCTGTGCATCTCTATGCATTGGAGTGATGTCATCACTGGGTCTCTGTGCATCTCTAGGAAATTCAATGATGTCATCGCTGGGTCTCTGTGCTTTTTTTATGCAATGCAGACAGATCATGGCTAGTGGGAGGGGGGCCGACAAGGTGCTGTACATAGTTTTCTGAAAACATCACAGTTCCGTGTCTCAGTACCCCTCCTTGGGCTCTTGGGAGCAGGAGCGGACTGACCATTAGAGCACTCGGGCACTGCCCGAGGGCCTGGGGTCAGTAGGGGGCCCCATGAAATGCCCCTGGTACCTTTTTATAGGCTTTTTTGGGTGTGCTTTGAGTGTGGGCAAGGACACAGGGGCCCCATGATCCCCTATTGCCCGGGGGCCCCATGAGTTGTCAGTCCTCCCCTGCTTGGGAGGAATTATGCAAAAAACAGGACATCTTCATGAGTGTCTGGAGGAGCGGGCGTTCCTAGGCAGACTGCATTTGCATGTAGACCACCCTAGGTAACATCCATATGTGATTCTGAGCCTCCATTATTAAAAGGACTGAAATCTAATAAATGAAGGGGAGGGCCAAGGATGGTCAGGCTGAGGAGGTAGGAGCTAGATAATGCTGGATGTCTTCCAGCCAGGAAATTATACTCTATGGCCAAAAGTATGTGGAACTCCCTACAAAAGATGGTGTTCAGGTTTAAGATATTGTAGATAATTGTGCCCTTCCAATCTTGTGGGAACAGTTTGGTGAAGACCCTTTTCTGTCCCACCATGACTGCGCCCCCCGTGTACAAAGCCAGCTCCATGAAGATATGGTGTCACCAATTTGGTGTGGAGGAGCTCGAGTGTCCTGCCCAGAGTTGTGGCCTCAACCCTACTGAACACCATTGGGATGAATTGGAATGAGCACAGTCCTGACTTCAACCCTACTGAGAACCTTTGGAAGGGATTGGAATGTTTGGACTACAAGCCAGGTCTTTTTGGTGCCCAACGTGAGGACTGATATATGAACCAGGTCTTCTCAGTCAACATCAGTACCTGGCCTCACCAAATGACACAAATACCCCAAGACACCCCCCAAAATCTTGTGGAAAGTCTTCCTAGAGGAGAGGAGGATGTTATAGCTGAAAAATGGGGGGCAGCTCCATATTAGTGGCCATTGGGTATCGAGGATTGGATGCAACTCCATATTAACGGCCTTTGGGTATAGAGGATTGGGGCAAATCCATATTAGTAGCCATTCGGGTTTGGGGGACAACTCCATATTAATAGCCATTGGGTATTAGGGAGTGGGGGGCAACTCCATATTAATGGCCATTGGGTATCGGGAATGAGGGGCAACTTCATATTAGTGACCATTGGGTATCGGGGATTGGGGGCAACTCCATATTAGTGGCAGTTGGGTATCAGGGATTGGGGGGCAACTCCATATTAGTTTCCATTGGGTATCAGGGATTGGGGGCAACTCCATATTAGTGGCCATTGGGTATCGGAGATTGGGGCAACTCCATATTAGTGGCAATTGGGTATTGGGGTCAACTCTATATAAGTGGCCATTGGGTATCAGGGATAGGGGGCAACCCCATTTTAGTGGTCATGGGGTATCGAGGATTGTAGGCAACTCCATATTAATGGCTATTGGGTATCAGGGATTGGGGGGGGCAACTCCATATTAATGGCCATTGGGTATCGAGGATTGGAGGCAACTCCATATTAATGGCCATTAGATATTGGGGATTGGAGGACAACTCCATATTAGTGGCTGTTGGGTTTTGGGGAATTGGTGGCCAATTGCATATTAATGGCTATGCATTTGGAAATGCCTGTTCAACAAGTTCATATAGGTGTGATGGTCAGGTGTTCACAAACTTTTGGCCAAATAGTAAACCATGTAATATCTGACATTGGTAGATACCCGGATGAAACGAGGTGAGCGGGTCTTCACCATAAATCCCATGAGGTCCTGGCACCAGTAGAAGGAGAGTGAGCCTTTAGCACCTACCCGGCAAAGTGAAAATACGTGTCCGTGGTTACAGGTTGGTACGGCATTAGCACTTATAAACGTGAGGGGATATTTTTATTGTTCTTAATAAAAGCATTTGAGACATTATTGCAGAAAGCGGAAGATCTCACGGGCTACTTATAACCATGAAAATGTGACATTACAGGGCATGTATGACAATCATGACATTTGTGGATTGTGAAGCGTTCTTCCCACTGACCACCAATGTAAGGGACATTCTTCCCACTGACCCCCAATGTAAGGGACATTCTTCCCACTGATCACCAATGTAAGGGACATTCTTCCCACTGATCACCAATGTAAGGGACATTCTTCCCACTGACCCCCAATGTAAGGGACATTCTTCCCACTGACCCCCAATGTAAGGGACATTCTTCCCACTGATCACCAATGTAAGGGACATTCTTCCCACTGATCACCAATGTAAGAGACATTCTTCCCTCCGACCCCCAATGTAAGGGGCATTCTTCCCACTGATCACCATTGTAAGGGACATTCTTCCCACTGACCCCCAATGTAAGGGACATTCTTCCCACTGACCACCAATGTAAGGGACATTCTTCCCACTGACCACCAATGTAAGGGACATTCTTCCCACTGACCACCAATGTAAGGGACATTCTTCCCACTGACCACCATTGTAAGGGACATTCTTCCCACTGACCCCCAATGTAAGGGACATTCTTCCCACTGACCACCAATGTAAGGGACATTCTTCCCACTGACCACCAATGTAAGGGACATTCTTCCCACTGATCACCATTGTAAGGGACATTCTTCCCACTGACCCCCAATGTAAGGGACATTCTTCCCACTGACCACCAATGTAAGGGACATTCTTCCCACTGACCCCCCAATGTAAAGGACATTCTTCCCACCGACCCCCAATGTAAGGGACATTCTTCCCACTGACCCCCAATGTAAGGGACATTCTTCCCACTGATCACCAATGTAAGGGACATTCTTCCCACTGATCACCAATGTAAGGGACATTCTTCCCACTGATCACCAATGTAAGGGACATTCTTCCCACTGATCACCAATGTAAGGGACATTCTTCCCACTGATCCCCAATGTAAGGGACATTCTTCCCACTGACCACCAATGTAAGGGACATTCTTCCCACTGATCACCAATGTAAGGGACATTCTTCCCACTGATCACCAATGTAAGGGACATTCTTCCCACTGATCCCCAATGTAAGGGACATTCTTCCCACTGACCACCAATGTAAGGGACATTCTTCCCACTGATCACCAATGTAAGAGACATTCTTCCCACTGATCACTGATGTAAGGAACTTCTTAAACTGCTGTCCTCAGAAGGCCGGGTGTCCCTTTTTTTTTTTTGTGTCTTTGACCTGACCCCTGATGATGTGACACTGCACATGCACATTGTGACCAAAATGGACCCAAAGCCTCTTGGGATGCATGGCAGAAGTCTTCCAGGAAGGAGAGGATATGTTACTCTCACTTAGGCAAGAAAAGCTGGGAAAGTAATGCAGGCCATACACGGGTCGAATTCCCAACAAATTTTTGTGCGTTTTGTAGTGTGATGGCGCAACCATCGATTTAGAAATTCAACCATCCAAGCCTTCAATTTCTCCTCCTGTTGCTACAGAAAAAAACTATTTTCATGGCCAAGAATTTTCTTTTCTTTCCAGGTCCCAGCTTTATATTTCTCGCACGATTCTCCCATCATTGATTTGAAATTGGTTCCATTTTTCAAAAAATTTCCAACATGCCCGATCACTCAAATTCGACAGTCGCACGAAAATCAGCCGTTTCTGTGGCCCACTAATGCAGGCCATAGACGGGTTGAAAATCGGCCAATTTTTGCACTGTTAGTGGGTTAATTGTTCGGCCCATTTTTCGGGGTTTTGGCACATTTTTTTATCGGTCAAGTTGGAAAATCCACGGCCGATTTTGACGAGCGGACGATTTTACCAGCAATGATGGGCAAATCGGCCAATCTTTTTACTGATAAAAAATGTGTGCATGAGCCGTGACCTGGAAAAAGAAGAAGAAGAATAAGTAGAAGAAGAGAAAAATAAAAAGAAGAGGAGGAAGCAGAAGAACGGAAGAAAAGAAGAGAAGAAGAAGAAGAGAAAAAGAAAAATAAAAATAAAAAGAAGATGAAGCAGAAGAAGGGAAGAAAAAGAAGAGAAAAAGAAGAAGAAGAGAAAAAGAAAAAGAAGAAGTAGAGAAGAAGAAGAGGAAGGGAAGAAAAAGAGAAAAAGAAAAAAAAGAAGAAGAGAAAAATAAAAATAAAAAGAAGAGGAGGAAGCAGAAGGGAAGAAAAGAAGAGAAAAAAGAAGAAGAAGAAGAAGAGAAAAAGAAAAATAAAAAGAAGAGGAAGCAGAAGAAGGGAAGAAAAAGAAGAGAAAAAGAAAGAAAAAAGAAGAAAAAAAGAAAAAAAGAAGTAGAAGAAGAAGAGGAAGGGAAGAAGAAGAAGAAAAAGAAGAAGAAGAAGAGAAAAAGAAGGGAAGAAAAAGAAGAAGTAGTAGAAGAAGAAGAGGAAGGGAAGAAAAAGAAGAGAAAAAAGAAGAAGAAGAGAAAAAGAAAAAGAAGAAGAAGTAGAAGAAGAAGAGGAAGGGAAGAAAAGAAGAGAAAAAGAAGAGAAAAAGAAAAAGAAGAAGAAGTAGAAGAAGAAGAGGAAGGGAAGAAAAAGAGAAAAAGAAGAAGAAGAAGAGAAAAAGAAAAAAGAAGGGAAGAAAAGAAGAAGAAGTAGAAGAAGAGGAGGAAGGGAAGGAAAAGAAGAGAAAAAGAAGAAAAAGAAGAAGAAGAAGAAGAGGAAGGGAAGAAAAAAAGAAGAAGAAGAGGAAGGGAAGAAGAGGAAGGGAAGAAAAAGAAGAGAAAAAGAAGAAGAAAAAGAAGAATTCCAGTCCGCTATTATATTTTATATGAAAAGTCTTGCGGTTGCAACATTGTAGCCATTTGTATCCGAATAAAACCATCTGTATCCGAAATGGATACAAATGGATACATTGTTGCAACCGCAAGACTTTTTCATGTCAAATATAATAGCGGAGCTCTCTGCAGGGACAGAAGTAATTAAATGCCGGCTGCAGACGGGACGAAAATCGACCGATTTTTTTTTTACCTTTGGTGGAGACGTCGGACGATCGAACAACCAATTTCTCGGTTTTTTTTTTTCAATAAAAAAACGGCCGGTTTTTGACCCGTCTATGGCCTGCATAATGGTGCGAAATGTGAACAAAAATTCTTAGAAAAGATTTTCTCAAGAAAATTATTTTGTAATTCCACCCGCGTACGGCCTGCCTAAGTCTGGGTCCTACAAAAAGGGGTATTTTGGGAGTAAAAAAAAAAAAGGTGTCAAACTAAACCAAGTACTTAGAGAGGGTGAAGGTCCTACAACTCGCTTTCGTTTCTTGTTGGTATTATGGTTACTGTTTTATTTGAGTATTATTTCTGAAAACAATTTTGTCTACAATCTTCTGTTCGCACGAATGGGCCAGGAAGTGACTCCAAAAACATTAGCTGGGTTCCCCGAGATCTGGAATTTCTTTCAAGGGTTCCTCCATGTTGGAAAGGCAGAGAAAGCTTCCTTCACACACTGAATGTTCACAGCTGACATCCTTCACCTGCAGGTGCTATATAATCCTTACATTAATATTGTTCTGTCCGGGAAACGTTTCCGTAGGACACCAAGTGATTGATCCCACCATCACATATTAATTACCCATCATTCCCGGTAACATAATAAGTCCTGCATGAACATTCCCCCTGGCTCTGAGGACTACTGTTAATGTACATAGCAAAATATTATGTAAATTGGGTCATTCAGTGGAAATTCTCAACCGCAAATCTCCTCTCCTTCCGGCTGCTGAGAAACGAACCTTTTCAGCTGCGTATTTCTCTTTGGATGTGTCTGGGAGATCTATGGGGAGAGTGGAAATAATTCTCCCTGGGTGGTCATGACCGATGGATGATAAAGAGTAATGGTCGGTTGTCAGATCACCGGAAGCCATTTTAGCTGTGATAAAGCCCTGCATGTGGTACGAGTGCTTACAGAGGACGGGGATAACCAGATATTCAACCATAACAGCCACCATTCCTATGCAAATTCATGCGCAAAATGTTTTTCTTGTAGTTGTATCTTCGGTCACCGCTGGCATTTTTAGCCTCGATGAAGGAAGGAGTTCTGGGTTCCCGAAACGCATTGGCTTTCTTTTTCTTGTGATTTGCAACAAAATCCTTTCTGAACTCTGTAGCTGTAGGCACTGTGGAGAAATTCATCCTCACAGTTTGCAGCAGAAACACTAAATTATTTTTCTCCTTCAGCTCAGCTACTCCTGCTTCCCCTCCTAGTAGTGACTAGGGAGCTCGGCTCAACCCTGCTCCTTCCTCCCAGTAGTGTCTCGGCAGCTCAGCTTAACCTGCTCCTTCCTCCCAGTCATGTCTCCGCAGCTTGGCTCACCCCTCTCCTTCCTCCCAGCAGTATCTCAGCAGCTCAGCTCACCTTGCTCCCCCTCCCAGCAGTGTCACAGCAGCTCAGCTCACCTTGCTCCCCCTCCCAGCAGTGTCTCCGCAGCTCAGCTCACCTTGCTCCCCCTCCCAGCAGTGTCTCCGCAGCTCAGCTCACCTTGCTCCCCCTCCCAGCAGTGTCTCAGCAGCTCAGCTCATCTTGCTCCCCCTCCCAGCAGTGTCTCCGCAGCTCAGCTCACCTTGCTCCCCCTCCCAGCAGTGTCTCAGCAGCTCAGCTCTCCCCCTCTCCTTCCTCCCAGCAGTATCTCAGCAGCTCAGCTCACCTTGCTCCCCCTCCCAGCAGTGTCACAGCAGCTCAGCTCACCTTGCTCCCCCTCCCAGCAGTGTCTCCGCAGCTCAGCTCACCCTGCTCCTTTCTCCTAGCAGTGTCTCAGCAGCTCAGCTCATCTTGCTCCTCCTCCCAGCAGTGTCTCAGCAGCTCAGCTCACTTGGCTCCCCCTCCCAGCAGTAACTCAGCAGCTCAGCTCTTCTTGCTCCCCCTCCCAGCAGTGTCTCGGCAGCTCAGCTCATCTTGCTCCCCCTCCCAGCAATGTCTCAGCAGCTCAGCTCACATTGCTCCCCCTCCCAGCAGTGTCTCAGCAGCTCAGTTCACCTTGCTCCCTCCTCCCAGCAGTGTCTCAGCAGCTCAGCTCATCTTGCTCCCTCTCCCAGCAGTTTCTCAGCAGCTCAGCTCACCTTGCTCCATCCTCCCAGCAGTGTCTCAGCGGCTCTGAAAAAGTCCTGTATGTGCTTCCAGCGCTTGCAGAGGCCAAGAATAACCGTACATTACACAGTAACGATCCCAATGCAATTGTTTTCCAGTTGTATCTGCAATCGCTGATGGCATGTTATCCTGTTCCCGATGGCCATACACATATATGCGGCCTCTTGGCGAGTGGGCTGTAATGTGGAGAGGTCGCATATATGCATCCCAAATGTAAACATTGGCATGTATGCACTGAGCGCTCCCAGCACAGATACTAAGGGGAACCGCAACGCTCCCGATGCCCGATCCGGAGCTTTCCGATCATGTGACAGCCAATCATGGCAGTCACATGACTAGAATGCCCACCTCGGCCTCCCCAGGACATTTAAAAGCTCTTAAAGGGCCAGGAGGTTTTGTCGGGAACGGGTTAAGCCCTGATGAAGGGGGGAAGTTCTGAGCCACCCAAAATGCATTGGGAACTGGTTAAGCCCTGATGAAGGGGGAAAGTTCTGAGCCCCCCGAAATGCATTGGGAACGGGTTAAGCCTGATGAAGGGGGGAAGTTCTGAGCCCCCCCCGAAACGCATTGGGAACGGGTTAAGCCCTGATGAAGGGGGAAGTTCTGAGCCACCCGAAACGCATTGGAAACGGGTTAAGCCCTGATGAAGGGGGAAGTTCTGAGTCCCCCCGAAACGCATTGGAAACGGGTCAAGCCCTGATGAAGGGGGGAAAACGCATTCTGAGCCCCCCGAAACGCATTGGGAACGGGTTAAGCCCTGATGAAGGGGGAAATTCTGAGCCCCCCGAAACGCATTCTGAGCCCCCCGAAACGCATTGGGAACAGGTTAAACCCTGATGAAGGGGGAAGTTCTGCGCCCCCCAAAACGCGTTGATTTGTTTCTTTTGTCATGCGCAATAAAATCCTTTCTGCATTTCTCATACAAGTCCATTGAAATGTGAAATCAGCTTGAAGCGAGCTGGTGCAGCTTCCAA